ATAAGCTCTCTCACTGTCAAAATATTGTTGCTCTTTACGTTTATCACGTATCATGCGGGACAATTCCCATGCCGATTTAAAGGCGATAAGCAATGGAGCATATGAAAGGAGCGAGGCGAAGGGGGCCATTGTACTATAGCATGAGTGATCAAATAAACTCCGCAGTCGGCGCCTCTAAGGCCAAGTTAAATATCCCATAGCCAAGGGAATAAAGTCAATTGCGGGACCTAGAAGCTAAAATCCACCAAGCTCGTAACTGGGAATGAGCAAGTTGGAATTTCTCTCAAGCCGGCTCGAGTTCTGCAGTGCCTACGTACCTGGCAGCCGTGTAGCAGTCCGACACCTAGGTCACGGTGCGGCCGTCCCATGACGCGGTAATGCAGCCTGGGCGGTTGGATTGGTGGTAGTCAATCACTCTTTATATGTGCTCTACAAGATGCTATCCTAGTCACGCTCTTTTTTTGCTTTAGGATCGTCAAAGAACCACTCAAACGCTTTCCCCTCGCCATTAATCTGGTCCACCTTAATTCTGAATCCCTTCAACTTTGTAGGGAATTCATGCTGAATTATCCCACCCGGCATGGAGTCAGCCAACATAGAATAAGTCCAGTTAACTCGTCCTTTGTCCGTAGCCCCTTCCACGACCATCTTATCCTTCAGACCACGTATTTCTGTATAGTCAACTGAACGAGCCAAGTGCCATATGTTTAGAACGATGTTTGATTCGTGAATGGTCGCCTCACAAGTCGATGGATCGTAACTGTGGTCTCTCAGACAATCCAGCAGTACTTTAGCACTCTCATCTAGGTGTTCTCGATCCTGGGAGGGATCCTGATTCACCACCTTGTTTGATATAAGTGCAAAGTAATGCTCCTTTCGCTCCGGATTGTCATTGGACTTTTCATTCGGCCAGTATAGTTCGTAGAGGGTTTTCCCAACCAAGAAATTGTGGATTCCCTTTTCCCTGCAATCCCGTATAAACCTGTCATCCTTGAATATCATGGCAAGAATAGCCTGGGAAGGTCCAGCACCTTGCGTGGGCTTGGCCTGGACGGTCTCAGAAGCCTGGGATTGCTCGGTGGGGGAGTGCTCCACAGTCTTAGACAACATTTTTGATTTTGGTTTTGGTTTTGGGCTACTCTATACTAGATCATTCCCAGTGAGAAAGAATTGGAATGACAGGTTATATAATGGTTAGATTATATAGATTCTAGTTCTCGCATTCCTAAGTATTGCTTGTAGATTTTTAGTCCTTGCCGATTTTTTCAACTTCTCGTTCAGCCATTTTTTAGGCTGACGGGGACGAAGCGTACCTACCTTGCCCAGACAACATGCAATGTCACTCGATCTACGCTTGCCAAAATGCTCAGTCACCTATGGCTCGATCTTGGTTGGGGCGCATTGGGAGAGCCACTTCTGCTAGAACACCACAGGCCATATCGATACATCACTGCCGAGAGTCAGGAATATTTAGAGCTAATCCTGCTGGTACGCGGCCCAAGACACGCAGAATGCACCTACTCGTCCTACGCCGGCAATCAAGTCCACTTGAGGCGTATTGGGCCTCCTTTGGTCTTCCTTGTTGAATGCGGTCTCCACCTTCTCCCGGCCATCACAGAATCAGAGATCACTAACCCCAGGGTACCGGAGATGGTCTCTCGGCATAAGGTTCCCGCAGTACCTATCCCAGAAATAGCTCGGCTGCTTTACTCGCGGATTTTGTCGCTCTTCAGCACTGCCCTCATTCTCATTGAGGAGGAATTTGGAGGTCTCAAAGGGGTTATACACGAGCTTGCAGCCTGGGCCGACTCCGCTCAAAACACATCTAGCCGGCACCGGCCACGTGTGCTAATTGTTACTGCCCAACGGAAGCATGACTCTAGGAGATTGGAGTGGGAGCTTACGGCAGAGATTATGGCGAATTTTAACCCCTTCCGAGAGCTTAGCTTTAAGATGGCGGAGAAGGTGTGGAGGAAGTGTTTCGAAGGAATCGAGCACGTGGGCCCACCCCAAGACATTGATGGAATCCATCGGTTGGCGCTCGCTGTCCCTTCCAAGCTCCCGTATGCCCGACTGGGCGCATGCCAGATTGCGAGGCTCCTCCGGACAGCGTTTCGGCGGTTCTCTCGCTGCCAGCAGGAGGCGCTTGGCCTGGTCGATGCTGTGCGGGTGACCCGCGATGACCCAGTGCCAATCGAGTTGCCGCTCGTCAGGGCTTTGAGAAGACGGGCCAAGGATGCTCACGAGCTGGGTGTCCTCAGCAAGCTCATCGCGTCAGCGTTAACCGTGGACGGGTATCGCCGTGGCCTGGCTGAGGTAGCGCTTCCGCCTGACGAGGTCTTCGAGGAGTTTTATTCGGCGCCTCTAAAGCGCCTGGCGGCGCAAGCCAACCTGCACGCCATATTTGATTGGGTAAAACGCCAATTTGTTGAGCTTGCAGGTGCCGCCGTCGCTGGTGCGACCGACCCGGTTGTTCACCACCGCGGGATACTCAGGAAGGTGGGCTCGCTCAGCCGAGACTGCCCGGGATTGTGTCTCTCATGCCTAGTTCGTGAGGCGTCAAGTTGGCTCTCATGTAGCCACGGCCTTTGTGATCGATGCGCTGCGCTGCACTCCCTGGAATCGGAAGGCCAATCTCTTCTTCTGCCCGCATGTGTGTTCTGCGGCGCTGTGAACAACACCCCGCTGCATGTGAAGCCGTCAACGGCGGGGGTGCGAATTTTGCACCTTGCAGGACCCGTTGAAGAGGCGCGAGGCATGGCCAGCTTCCTACGATCTCTACGATCAGCGCTTCCCAACCCACTTCATCATCACTTCGACATTGTGATCGCGAGTGGCATTGGTATGTTCTTCGCGGTGATGTTGTTCTGCAAGCGCGCGGCCGTTGAAGACTGTATCCACCACCTTCCGAACCTGGAGTGCGCCAAGGTGAGCAGGTGGGGTCTTAAGTTTGGTCAGCGCTTACGATTCCGCCACGACGAACTAATCACCAACGGTGTCCGGTTGCTCCTGCAGCACAAGCGCTCTCTGGCTAGGGAGCATCAACCCAACTTTTTCTGGCCCAAGGCTCGGCGCGACGTCGTCGTCGAATTTGACGTGAACATGCCGGGACGGCAGAGACTCGACCACATAGCCGACAGGCTGCTCGTTTCTCTCTTCTACATCGAGGTTGACGACTGCCTTTGTTCCCAGACATACCTACCGGTATCGATCAGATGCCGCCTGCCTCCGGGTCATGGTCTTCTCGATTTGTTGATGAGAGCTCGACAGAGAAATGCGCAGGTTCAGTACAGCGGGCAGAAGGCCGTTCTTTGTCCAGAAGATAGCTGGCGCGACGCAACCAGAGGGAAGCTGTTCTTGCGGCGAATTTACATTCCCATTTCGTCCCCCTCCGATATCGTGGACATTAAGATCAGTGGCCTCGGCTCAGATACTATGAGCCTGAGCAACTGCCCTTACCGGCTAGAAGCTCTTACAGACGAGTCCCCTAGGAATCTAGATGCCGGGATTGTTAACTTCAAGCCTGGGATCAAGAATACAGTAGATCGTCTAAACTTGGAATTGTATCAATTTCGTATGTAGATACAGATTTTATTAGCTTATATACTGAAGTATTCCCCCAACCGCAAAATGCCCTTTGCCTTGGCCGGTGTCGGCTGGGCCGGCGTACAAGAGTCTAGGATGAACGAGTCCAACACATCTGATTCCCCAGGCCGGAGCGAAGCTGGTGCCCGGCCCTGCCACGGTCCCGCCGTAGTTGGTTTCTGCTTGTCGCGGATCCAAGTGAACCGTTCCCTGGGGATCCTGCGGACACGATTCACTCCATCAGGCAACCCAACAAGATTCTGTCGGGACTCATATATCATGAGCTCGCCTGTTTCCTTGTTGAATATCAACCCAGCGGTCTGCGCACCATAAAGCGTATGAATCTGGTGGGCCTTCTTCATGGCATTCAACGTCCGGCCGTTCCAGGCCTTGTTCGGGTCCTTTCGCGTAGGGGGTCCCCGAGCTTGGTCCTCCCTCGTAAGAAGGTTCTCCGGGGTCGTTGTGAAGGTGGTCTTTACAGCTGGCAGGCCTTTGACCCATCCAGGCTTGGATTCGTACACGTGGAGCTCGTCGTCTTTCAATACCACCACTGCTGTTACAGCACCGAAAAGCCAGTGGATTTCATGGAATTTCTTCTGGACACCTTGCGTCCTCCCTGCCCACTTCCTGACTGGTTGCCCGGTAGTGCTTTTGGGGGCAGGCATGGTGACTGGTGGATCAACGAGCAGGACTGTTTTGGAAAAGGCAATAGAGGACTTGGATTCGCGATGGAAACTGGAACGACTGTCTCCCTTTTTAGGAGAGTTAATTTCGGGAAAACAAAACTGGTATCTGACTACCAAGGTTCTTGATAATGGGAGTTTGGAAATTATATACACATCCTTTGCACCCCCTCGGTTGCCAAAAATAGGTAGCTTGCTAGAGCCGCGCGCTACGTGAGGCGCTTCGTTCTTGCCCGAAAAGTGCTTGCGGCTCAGTGAGTAGGATAGGACGGGTTCTTTAGCGTTTCCGGTCGGTAGCTTAGCTCACGAAACCAAACGATATTTTCTTTCCTACTGTGCTGGAGGGCAAGGGCCCGGGTATCGTCCATGAAGCGCCTGGTACCGCATGCTGTCCAGTGAGATGTAAGCCAGGCACCAAAGCAAGGAGTCGGGTTTGTGACACTGACTTACCGGCAACGAGAGTCCTTCCCGGCTTTCCATTGGCGACTTTCTTTATACGGTCTGAAAGTGTCCTTGGGTCTGTTGTTGTATGCCAGTTTTTTATACTTGGTAGTTTCGGCACTTTGATGTCTTCCCTATCTGGGCGATGGGGATAGGCGACATAGACGCTAAGTAGGGATACCCGGGGTTTCTCTTGAAGGGGTGCGGTGCCTGGCCCTCTACCATCGGGTGCAGTATACAGAGTTTGAGACTCATACAGCTGCATATTGTTGGGCGTTGCATTTTGAGGTTGCGAACAAGACGCGATGTCCTTCAAAGTTTCCGCCAATGACTCGAAGTATGGTGCTGCACAGTCGTACTGGCAATTGTTGTCAAGTTTCCAGAAAAGGTCAATATTTCGCGTCATGTCGCAATAAAGTGAGACATCATCTCGCTTGCGATTCTCAATGTCATGCTTCCTTCGAGAAATGAGAGACAGGGCAAACGGCAGGACTCCAGAGATCCCTATCCCTTCAGCAGCTAGCACTACAGTTTCGAAGGAGCCCATACTAAGATCCCCCCCATAAGGACCGCCCAACCTAAGTCTAAAGTTGGATGGGAGAGGTCCTATGTTTCGGCCGATTAGGACTTCAACGTGGCGAACGGATTCGTTCTCCTCATCCGTCCACCAGGCAACTGGCACACACACGCCACTATGCTGTCCCGGTATATTGATGTAGAAGTATGTACCCGGGAGGGCCGGGATAGTAGACCCGGTATCGATGGTCAGCCGTGTTACATTCAGCCGTTCGGCCTCCTGGGTGCTCTGGACGGTCAACTTAGCAGCCCGGTAGCCGTACCACCTCAGCAACTGCAATCCTACAGAAGACATCCACAGACTTCCCGTACCAAACACTGTCAACCAGGCGAAGGAGAAAGGTGTTGACACCATCCAGAGGTGCCATCCTAAAGACACTAATATAGATAGAGATAAAAGCCTGTGGAGATTTAGAAACAAAGTGTACGGAAGTTTGGACACCCGAGATTTCCAGTTGGCCATCGACTGGATTAACGAAAGAGTAAGACACAGGCATATGACGCCAAAAAGGACGCCTCCAGATAGTGTTTGAAGCTTGTCGACGCTTCTATTTCTTAGCGTGAGAACGGAATGCACAATGGAAAGTGCTACAACTGCTGTAGCCACCCACTGATGTGCTAGGTAGTACTCCCGCGGGGAGATACCTAGACTATCAGCGATTAGACTTGTCCTCCCCCCAAGAAATAACAGAACGAGGTTAACGATGGCAAATAATGGGGAAGACGAGAGCCCCTCAAAACGCAAAGCCGTTGCATTTGCTGCGAGATAGAGGAGTATAGCACCAAGCTCAGGTACTGTTTTGTTTATGAAAGGAAGCTGTATCTGGACGAAGTACGTAAATGCAAATCTGGAATAGGGTAAGAACCTGCTAAGGCCATATAGAAGAACCCATAAGACCAAGAAGGACCAGAGGGCGATGGCGAAGTACAGGTGAATATCCATGGTAAATGATCTGATTTGTAGGCTGTTAGGAACTGCAAATGCCGGCGCTTTATACAGCGCTTTATAATTAAACAGAAATAGTCCGAAACGACAGTGAGGAACCCAGTTAGGGCTTTTCGATATCTAGAAATGGGGTGAGCTTATAATTACCATTTGGGACGGTTCTGTAGGAACTCTGGTCCATTGCAGTAGGTGGCAGAGGTCCATTGCAGTAGGTGGCACCATGGCGTCGGAAGAGTTTCTCCTCGGCCGATGCCAAGTACGGCTACAGGATATCGAAATTGACCCTGACTACTGCCGTGACAGAATTGACGCCGCAGTAGCCAGTCTGACGTCGGTCTTCGAAGATCCAAACAAGTTCAACCCACATGCTGAAATCCATCAATTCCCAATCGTAACAAATCTCGAGGAGCTGAAACAGCTGTTGGACGACTCGGGTGTCTCTCACCCTAGTTTCACAGAGTCACAGCTACATACGCCATACCCTAGACTTACGTCTCTTCATAGGAAACTCCGATGCATTCATGGAAGGCAAAGGTACGAAGCTGCCATCGGTAGCCAAAAGCTCGGCCCCAATACTTGGTGGACTGTGAAGCTCTATTGTCTGCCGGAAGGGGTCGATCCACGTATACTTTTGCATGAGGAGGTCGAGCAGGATCACTACCAGACGAAGTACAACGACGGCCATATCTTTTGTGCCGTTCTTTACTGGCACGAGAAAGGGGACTTGCGTAGAGTTGACAGCTGGCGGAAGAAGCTTTCGGAAAGCAAACAGAAAAGTCTAGACATTTTGATGAAGCTCACACGAGTGAAAGAGAGGCTCGGGAAACTCCGGGTATTCCACGGTCTCCTTCACGGGTTGAAGCTGGGAAATGTCGAAAAAATAGTAAACTCCCACGCGGTGCCGCAGATCTGTCGCAACCTCGATAGGATCTATGAAGTCTGGAATGACATTACACTAGGAGAGCCCAGGGTTCAGCGTGCAACGAGCGTGACTACTGTTCAACGGCTTCAGATGCTCGCGCCATCAGCGAGCTTTGCAGATAGACACACGGTACAGGAGCTTATGAGAACTGGACAAGTGTTCCATACACTGAGAGACTCGGATTTACGAGCACAAATCCAGCAACGCATACTTCAGATCAAGGGCCTTATCCCAAGCGTCGAGAGTTTCCACGAGAATATGAAATATCTGCACATCGTCAATCACGTCATTAGATCCAATCTGAGTGTGACTCCAGGGAAGGGCGAGTCAATATCGGAAGCAATGAGCAGCATGTGGACGCGTCTCGACGCCTGCCTGGTGGAGTATGCAGATGGTCAGTTCATAAGGGCTGCTCGGCCGCCTAGCCAAGACTTATCATACATTATGGTGGTAGCTGCGGCGATGCGGGGTTTTCCGCGGCTTTGCAATGGAGATTGTATGGGCCCTCGTTGCGAAGCAGGTGGAAGGCGTACCCCAGCCGTCAGAGACCAGGCGGCGGTCGATCGTTTCCGTGCCCTAGCCCGCAAAGTTGGGTATTCTGTAGCCACAACGGTGCAGCCCTTACCGCCAGTAGTAGTCGCAGAACCGCCCGCTACTGAGCCGGCTGAAGGGCCGGTAGAAAGGAGATGGAACCGGCCCTATGCAGATTCAGCTCGATTTTGCGCCTCCAGGCTCTTCCTGCCCGAACTTCTAGAAGACAAGCCAATCGAAGCCTATCCCGGAACTTTGTTTGTTCAGAGAGATTTTATTCGCTCGTTCTTTGGCGAGATTCCTGATCTCGGAGCAGTAGCCCGGCTTCCCCCCCAGCTTCCTGAGCCGCATGTGCAGCCCTTAACTCTGATATCAGATCCACCAAATCTCAGGCCCAGCGCAGACGGCACCCAGCCAAGTATTCGTCGATCCCCTGAGCCACATTTGCAACCCTTTACTACTAGACCAGATCTGCATCAATCTACACCCAGCATAGAGAGCCAGTCGGATTCTCGTCTCCTAGACCCCGGAGTTCATGACATTCCTGTTCGTCTCGAAAACCGAAGACGTCAAGGTTGGGGGCCGACGGATTTCACCTGTTTTACATGGCCGGCAGACCAAGATCCTGAATCTGAAGCATTCAGTCTCCCACGGCTATCAAATTCCTCCGAAACTAGCACCTTTCCAGAGTCGCTACGATCTAGCCAGTCGAGCCAATCAGTTTCTGAAGGCTCTAGGGCATTTATATCGCCATTTGGGCCGTTGAGTATCGCCGGACTTTCCACCACTTCATCTGCAAGATGGCGGAGCATCAACTCATTTTCAGCACGCCCCACCTCCTCAAGATCATACTCCAGGCTATCTAGCCCGGCACGTTCGGTGGGCCGCTCAAACGTAAGCTCTAGGCTACTGTCAAGCTCACCCCGCTCTATACATGTAGGCCACTCGATGAGTTTTACGCTATCGAATTCAGCGCGTTCTTCTGGTATCTCGATGAGTTCCAGACCGCCAAACACTCCCCAATCCATGCTTCAGTCGAGGAGCTCTAGGTTGTCGAGTGCGTTACGTTCTAGGAGTTCGATTAGAAGACTGCCCCAGCCTATATTCTCTTCGACTCAATCGCATTCCAACTCGACTACTCACTCCTCAGGCTTCTTTTCCGACTATAGTGCTACGGACTAGGCCCTATAGGTAGGCTCGGCACCGCCAGGACCAGCGCTCCACCGCTCTATGTATCTACTATTTCACTTGCCTATTCCATTAGCCTAGTATGTCCAGTATTGGTTTATTTAACTATGCTGGCTACCTACTTAGTTGTCCTTATTAAGGTATTATTACACCCGCTAAGTACAACGGAGGCAGGGGTCGACCACCGGCACAGCCAGTCCATGTGATGTTTAACATACCTATCCTTCCAGGTTGATTAACTTCTTCATGTCACTTAGCTCTCTCTCTACCTTGCAACACAACGTCGCCAATTACTAAACATAGGTAGGTAGCGATAATGAAAAGAAATAAAGAGACAGTATAAGGTGATTAGGTACAGTACCCCTACTTAGGTAGTTACATACAGCGCCACTCAGTGAAGTTTACTCTTCGCCAACAGCCTCTCGGACCTGCGAGGCTTTGGGGGCTCAACGTCTTCTTCCATAGCATCCCTCTTGCGCTTGCGGCTGGGTTTCGGAGCGGGTGAAGGTGGATTCTGGCTGTCCAGTTCGTCCAGCCTGTTCTCAAGCAACGCAATGAAGTCGGGGCTAGTAAGACGGTCGTCTCGCGGTGCAGCATCAAGGTCCTGCCAGGGCGTCTCGGGGTGTCCAATCGAAGGTGTTAGCTGGGGTGTCTGCGAAGAAGTGGCCTCAGGCTTCAAAAACAGATGCCGTGGTGGGAGTGGCTGGGGGTGCTGTAGGTGGTCCCACGAAAGCGGCGCGAGCTGCGTTTCCGGCCCAAACTTGACACTGTATTCCTCAGGTGCGAGGCAGAGTGTAATCGGATGATGGCACGCCTTGACAAAGAAATCTGTGTATACATGGTTGAAGGGACCGCCATTAACGAGGCCGATATAGAAACCTATGCGCCAGGCGCTATTGACGTTGCCACAGACGGAAACCATGGAGTCCCGTGTCTTTTCGTACCACTCCGAGATCTTGCCCTCTTTGTCTGTGAAGCCCACGTAAGAGACCTGGGAGTTTTGAAGTTCATCCAGTGTGATATAGAGTCCCGCGATAGGGGTCTTGTCAAAAAAGAGAGCCTGGCAGACGATAGCAGCAGACATTGTGTTGAGATCCTCAGGCCGGGCTAGGGAGAGAGAACGAAGGATTGAATGCCAGTCTATAGAGGATGAAGGAATAGCGACAGATATCCACTGCTTCGACATTCTCAACCAATATATATAGTGTGATTCTATTGTGTTACTATACTTAGTCCGGCGGCTACAGTCGGGTGTTAACGCCCAGCCGATGCATGTTTGCTTGAAGCTACTTCTCTAGATTTGGAAAGCTCTTTCTAGATAAAGCCAATTTTAATTTCCTGTGGAGATTCCTCTTCGAAATGGCTGTACACCGACTCCCTTTCTGGATCTGATACTGTGGTCTTATAACGCTGAAATGCGCTGATGATTAGCTCCGCCATCTCTGCGACAAGATTGTCGCGTCGCTTCAGCTCCTCGCTATAGCGCTCCATCCTCTCTTGCAAGGGTTTCTTTTCTTGCATCTCTTCTCGAAGAGCGTTCTCGAACTTTTTGACCTGTTGTAACAAGCTCTGGTTTAGAAGCCGGAGCTGCTCGTTCTCCTGTTCTAACAGGCGTGTATACGCATCTCCAGGACGACTCCTGCATTGCGTTTGTAGGCCCGCAAGCGGCGTCGGAGGTAGTTCCTTTCCACGCTCTTGCTGCATGGTGTGGACGGGATCTTAGTGTAGGGCGATATTCGATAAGTACTAGTATCTAATATAATAACTATAATCTAGATTGTATCGCGCCCCTGAAACGTTCGCGTGACGTCCATAGAGAAACTCTTCAAGTCGGCTGCTAGAGTATTTGTAGACTCCAGGATCTTACCCGAGATTTCGGAAATCCGCGTAATGTCTTTCTTGACTGTCTCTAACCGGCCATCTCTTTCCTGATCCCTATCCAGCCGATCAAGACGACGCTCCAACCTCGAGTTCCGAATCAACTCATGTAGCAAGGTCTCGATCTTAAGAGAGAGGTTATCTATTTTGAAAGCAAGGCTGTCGAGGCTTCTTACACCGTTAGATCCTGTCGTCAAATTGAGCTGGGGCGCTTACCTTTTGCAGTTTGAACAGCCAAAATCCATCACTGGAGCAGGCATTTGGGCAGAGTGCTGAGCAGAGCCTGAGCCGGGGATCATATAGTCGTCTGTCAAGTTCTCAAACATCTGTAGTGGCTCCATGCTGTTGTAGCTCGCTCGCGTGGTTCAGGTCGTCTTCGGTTCCTGCCTCTGGGATGCCTGGCGCGCCCTCCCTTATACTCGTTTTCCCTTGCGCTGAACTCAATTCTGACATCTGACTTCAGATAGCAAGACAGCAGTTTCCAATCTCTGCTCCTGGCCCAGGAGGTATAAATGTCCCAGGTTATTGGCAAATAACAGCGCTTGAATAGGACCAACCCAACCCTAGAACGCAAAATGTGGCTATTTCTTGTTTTTTACATGGCGCTAGCCGCCCGGGCTGCTATGCATAACCCATGTCTCCTGAACCCCCCTGTCCAGATATCCGCCGGCTCCGCTGTAAGCGCCGTGTGAGTATCATTCACCTCGTTTAGCCATTGATTCTAACGCGCGTCAAGCATCAATCTTGAGAGCAATTGCGAAGCGACCCTGATTTTTGCGAACGATTTTCCGGACATTGTCTTCAGTTTTGAATATAGCATTTGTCCACAACTATCTATCTTAGAAATGACTATACCACCACAGGTACCAAACGGAGATGCAAACATTGTTTGGTAATGTCTATTGGATAGTATATTTCTAATATCTAGTTTATAACTAACTTCGATACCTAGGCGATGTGCCGGGCAGGAAGTGCAATCCTGCTTTCAAGCCAATATAACAAATGGATCCGACGACCCATGGAACATTCTATATAGACAGAACGGCACAGTTGGCTGCTTAAACGTCCTTTCGTCGCCAGTTACAACCCTTGTTACAACGGGTGCAGGTAGTACAACAGCCGTAGAGACACGCACGAAAGAGACGTATACTGTCAGGATCAACACCTTACAGCCACCAGCTCGGTCATCCAATCCCTTCACCTCGACTTCCACATGGCTCCATACCCCCTCGACCCATACATGGACCGCATTGGAGACCTCTCCACCCCTAGCGTCCACCTCGCAGACCTCCACCCTCTCAACGTCCACCCCGGTGCGGCCAGTGATCGCGAAGGCTGCAAAGAATTTACCACAGTCCTGCTTCGCCATGGCAGCCGTTCTAGCAACAGTAGCGTATACATAGGTAGACTTAGGTACCTTAGATTATTGACGTAGTTCAAGTTGACTCCTAAATCACACTGTCCCAGAGTTAAGGCACTCTAGCGTATAAGCGCCGTAGCTGATTTCGCGCCTGAATCTGCACGGCTGTGAAACTCACTGTTTAAGCGCTGCTTGACATATATCACCAACATCACTAACACATCGACGTTACAGGGCCGAACCTTTCTCTTGGTAGGTACTATATATAGCCGGCATACTGGCATGCGCTGCACGTCATGTGACTTCCACAATGTGGTTTAACTGCCTATAAATCTTGGGTATCGCTGGAGTTCAACGGTCAGCCTGTCACTTGGAGTGCTTGAAGATACCCACTTAACTTCTATGACCGTTCCCTCGAAGCATAATGGCAGACTACATTACATACCTCGAAAATCTCATCCTTAGAGAAAAGGAGCTGAGACTGGCGTTTGAGGAGTATTGCTCCTTGCTCAAAGCCCAAGTATATTCGCTCTCTATTCAATTGCAACAGGAGCAACTAAATAATATGTCTCTTCGACATATGGTAATACCAATCCTCTGTCTCGGTAGAGAGCGGCTTACGAACCCTATAGGTACCTCTTCCTGTCTTTGAACTCGATCCCTTGGCAGCGGAGTTCCAGCCGGGCCCGAGTTATGCACAAGTCGAAGACCTCGCTCTTGAGCCCGGGGAGCGGGACGAGCGGGTTTCTTCCACACCACGCTTGGAGGGGACCCAGAACGAGCTGCAGGAAGAGGAGTCAAATACACAGGGACGTGATACGCAGGGAAGTGGAGAGCAGGGAAGTGGGGAAGGGGAGACTGCGACGAGGAAGATTGAAGACGGACCGGATTCAGCCTGGATAAGAGAAGTTCTCCATCGAAGCGAGACAATGTGACAAGCTACTTAGTCTAGTAATCAAGGGTCAAGTGTAAGGTATTTGATAGGTTATTCCTGATCCCTAGTTC